AAACATATATAGAGAACATCTCAAAACTCGCCCAAAATCAACAAGCTTTTGAAACTCCACATGTAAACAACAAAAATAGGAAAAATAATTTTCACTGTTAAAGTAGATAACCAAAATATTCCAAAGTAACTTTTAATTATACCCTTGCAATTTACAATTGACACAAATAGATACAAATTAATATAAAACTAGAGTAAATTTCATCAATTGGTACCTTACTTATAGTGGGATGTTCATTTGTTGTTATTTTTAAACGTTAATTTGTAATATTTAATTTATAGGACATTGTAAATTTTCTATCCTCTTCTTAATAATATAGTCATGATACCTAAAAAGGGACCTACTCCTAAAATAAATATGAACAGAAAAACCTCCTCTCAACATGATTTTTTGGCTAAAACAGCCACACCTATACAAAACAATTTATCAGCCCACTTTATCAACAAAAATATCCCTTGAAAGGTCAAAAGTTTTCATTCAAAACTCATTTCTCTGTCATAAAAATAAATTTTATCATAAATATTTTTAAACAAGAAAAAATAAATTTTATCGTATATATTTAACACAAAAGACAACAAAGTATTAAAACTACATAAAAGGACTTAATTTCATCTCTCAAAAGATGACGAAGGTCACAACCGGTTTTGAACCCTAAAAACCTAATAAATGATCATGTCCAAAGCAAATGGCTTTTCCCTTCCATAAACTAAAATTTGTGAAAGGAATGTTTTCAAATTCTAGACGCACAAAATTGTACATTACCATCGAAAGTAGAACCAACTGTAAAATAATTTACACTCTCAATCCCATTAATGTGATACTCTTTCTTTTTTAATATGTCCCAAAAAGAATAACACATTTCTATATTTAGAGGCAATTTAAATTTGAACTTTTCACATTACCTTTAATGAGATGATTTATAACCACATAATGTCTATAACTTGTTTTAGATCACAAGTTTCAAAAGTCATTCTACTTCTTAAACACCGTCTCCAATCAAACACCCTCACATAAATTGGGAAGACGAGAGTATATCTCAACTCTAATGTCTTTCCTTGAATATATGTAATTTGCAAGTTCTTTTTAGATAAGTAAAGCAATTTTTTGTAAATGGTAAACTTGTGCTAAGCTACTGTAAATGGTTTGATACATAATCCTCATTAGATTTGTAGAAAAACACAAAACAAATGGTGATGATGATGGCCAGGAAAGCTTGAACCAGAAAGTGAAGAAATTAAAAGAGGGGGGAGGGGGGGAGGAAAAGGGATGAAAAAAGCTGAGGTAATTAACCGGGAGCTTTCTTTTTTCTTTTTAATAATTTGTTCCTTCCTTTTTTATTTTATTTTTCTTATTTTAGTATGTTTTTTATTACAATTATCAAATGCACGCTCCCTATGTACGTGATAGACACGCACTTTAGTCACATCAGCATAGTGATTGCCACATGTGTGTAGTCAACGATCAAAGGGATTTATTAGTTGGCAAATATATGAGTTGAAGTGTTCAAATGGGAAAAGTATAAGTTTGTTTACCGGAATCCAAACGAATAAGTATTGGAACTTCAAACTCTCACTTTTCAGTATTAAATGGTAAGGACTTCATAGATAAAATTTTATTTCACAACCATTTCAATTCTACGTGCGAAATTATGACTGCGTTATATTATTTCATAGGGTAATTCCGTCTCGTTTAAAAGATAAAACTGCTTTCCAATCGTATATATTTTTCTTGAATCCCAAAGCACTCCACTATCGTGTGAATTATAAATTTACTGAATTGGCATCGGCATCTCCTTCTAACTCAATAATCGATATGCTATATAGATAGGAAAACAACCCTTAGTACCACAAATCATGTGTTTCCAAATGTTGTTCTCGTTTCCCCAGTTTAAAGATGATGTTGTCGTTAATACTTTACATTCCTCCATGATCTTCCTCCATGGTAAAATTGTTCCAAGAACCTCCATCTACCATCATGTATTCCACACTTCTCCAAAATCACCGTCCTCCATAAAGTCTGATCCTCCTTACCGAAGCTTACTTGCCTAACCTTGCTATATTAAATCTCAAAGCATTTACTCTTAGCTTAAACCTTTAGGAGGTAACCACCACCAATTAACTAAGTGAAACTTTATCCTCATATCATTATTTCCCACGAGAGATTTTTTTGAAACCTCTTCAGCTTTTCAACCACATTGAGCGATGCATGCATAAGGGACATAATATGTAATAAAGCTTGATAATGTAGTCTTGATCAGTACTTCATTACCCCTTTCTACCAAGTACTTCCTTTATCACCCGTCTAATATTTTCTCAACTTTTCCCCTTTTTGGGTTTACGATAATTTGGTTTTTGTGCAATGCTCCTCGTGAAGACATAGATAAATCATTGAGAGTGCACCAACCCTGAATTTTTGTGCTAAATGTTCAATCATTTCGTTGAACATTGATGAATGTTGAACATTTAGCACCAACCCTGAGCTTTTGTGCTAAATGTTCATTTCTCCTAGGATAATCCCAACTCACACTTCTTTAAATTAATTCTCGATCTTGATATAGCTAGAGACCATAAAAACACGTTACGTAAAGCTTACTTGATACACTTCGACATTATAAAAACATCAAGGTGTCATTGGTACATAATAGAGGTGGGACTCCAACATCATCATGTCTCTTACACTGCAAATACTCCCATTAAACAGCCTCTTTGACTACTCTATCCATCATCTTACTCAAAAACTCCATAACCATAAAACTTGATCCATAAAACTTAATTTCCTCTTCCACAATAGAGAACTTTATGCAATACCAATCCGTCTCTTACACTTTTCCTGAACCCATTTCCATGATCACATAATTCAAAAATTATCCACTCAAATGGTCATGAACCTTTTCGAGATCCAATGTAAATAAAATTCCTGGTTTCCCTCCTTTCTTCTCTGGTCCACCAACTCATTTGCCATTAATGTTTCGTCTGAATCAATCTACCTTCCACTAAGGCATAATTAAGAATTTACACAACTTCCTCAAATACATTTTTTAGCCTAATAGGTATGTCTATATAGGTTGCGCTGCCCCTTTTTCATATAATGGCGATGGAAGTTGCAGACTCTTTTCAAAACTACCCGGAGACCTAAAACAATGCAAGTGTGTAGCAAACTCAACTCTAGAAAAGGCTAAAATCAACCTACCCGACCCTTGTGTTGTTGCCAACACAACTCAACTCTTAACTGCCCCACTCACTCGGGCTAAATTCTATTTCACCAAACATTAGCCTCCAACTCTACTCCTTTGAACTTAACCTATCCTCGTCCTCAACCATTGTGCCGCTTATTCTGTCAATTAACTTTCTCTTACTAGAATTGTAAGTCTATGGAATAACTTTGTATTGAAATCCCCAACTTTCAATCATAGTGCTTTTTGTTATAGCTAACAACCCTTCAATCATAGCCTAAGTTGCTCCGACACAACAATTTAGGTGTCGCACCCATGTTGATACAACACTAGTAAGGGTGTGGGTATGTAATCCGTACCGGATCTGGTCAAACAATTTTGAATACTTTGACCATGACATAAGGAAAAATTCGAGACGAGATAATATTTGATTCCTAGAATCAGAACCAAAACTAGGGTAAATTTGAAGAAAATAGCATACTTTATCTAGGAAATCAATCATTTACTTATCCACAACTTTAGAATAAAACAGAAATCCACATTTTACAAGCTATACGTAAGTGTTCCACAAAATTTCTCATAATTTAGAGATATTTTATTTTTTGAATTATTTTTAGCCAGATCCCCGCACCCATATCCATACTAGAATTTGTATCCCTGAATTATCGAATTAACATCTCGAAGGATCCGACCTCTAGATCTGCACCCTTGTCGGACACACACACCCATGTCCGAGCAACTTAGATCAGAGCAAAGTGTGTGAGCAAGTTTGTGTGGGTGGGTGTATGTGAAACAGAGAAAGAGGGAGAGTCACTCGCACCTTCAAATTTCTAACTTGATGAGGGCAGCCCGCAGGAATAAAAACTGCATCCCCTAATTTTTGAACAAAGGTCCATGGTTCAATTCCTGCAAAATACAAAATATATACAAAGCCATTAGAAGGAAAAACTAAGAATTTTACTCGTTAAATAGGTAGAACTCAAGCTATGAAATTCATATACGAAACACTAACCATACTCTTCCTTAAGCTTCCTTTTGTGATCCTCAGTCAAGTAAAATGTTTGATCATGTATAGGGTGAATAACCTACAAGACCAAAAAGTTGATAGGTACAGAAGGCATAGCAGATCATTAGGATGAAAACTGTAACGATTAACATTTCATATTAAAGGATAAAGACCCCGACATAGACCAAAAAACTCTTTAACATTAGAAGAAAATGAAGTGATAGGCATTTTCTACAAAGCCGAAATCTACCAAAACCATCTTCATATAGATATCATAAAGACTAAAACCAAACTTCACTTTTATGGGTTTGAACAAGAGTAACATCTGTCATAAATGGTTTCCTCATCCGAACTTCGAAAGATTGAGTTTCAAAACCACCCAAACCCCTCTAGTAGAACAACAACTACGCGTAAGTCAAACCAGTTGGAAGATTTAGAATTATGCTTGATCTCTATCTTGGAAAAACTGAAGTCCCATATTGGAAAGAAGCTTTTCCAAAATGTAAATATCACATGATCTAACATGATAGCTTCTTGTTTCCTAGGTGAGCAAACAGATTCCAAAGCTGCCTATACAAAAGAGCAGCAGTAATTGCAGCTCATTGTCTTGTAAAGGTAAATAACATGATGAATTGGTTGAAAAGGTGAAAATAGGTGGTCGTTTTAGGCTGTAGCATTCCTGTTTCCCCTCACTCTCAGACTGGATAGCTGAAAGAATATTTTCAGCACATCAATTCAGGAATTTAGACTCTGGCTTTCTTGCTGAAACTGCACACTATCTGGGCTCTTTTCTTCTGCCTCTGCTACAAATCAGATTTGGCTTCAGTTCTACCGACATGTAATGTATTTCANTCTAACTTTGGAACATCTTGCCTTCTAAAGATGTCCCAGAGTGCACCACCTTCTAAATCCTCAAATACTTCACCTTTTCTAAACACTGGGTTATATTTGCACTCATCACTTTTACCATGATCAATCTTAATTCCTCCACTTGCTTCATAAGTGCTTGTTGTATCGATTGCACCATCTGTTGCCACCTCAGCATTAGTATCTCCCTCTGGCTTGACACAGGAAGCAGATGCAACAATTGATTGATTGCCACTACGTGGTCCAATACTCAAGCTCTGATCTGGAAGTACATCAGTTTTTCCTTTATCTATTCTACTATGTCTCTCACCTAGAACAGAGTTACCCTCAATCAACTCAGATGATGCTTCATTTTCACATTCTTTCTCGTCCTCAGACATCTGAAGTTCCCTTTTATCGTGAGCAGCATGCTTTCTTTTCAATGCCTTCATGGCTGAAAGCTGGTCGGGCTTCAAGGTTATTGCTTGAGTATGTGTCAACACATTCACCTACGATATAAATTGAAAGCAAATAACTTTAACAGAGAAACCTGACAACATAAGAAAACACATAGTTAACAGTTTAGTATCACTCTTTGGGTAGATAAATGAATTGCACTATATTAAAATACACCCTTCAAGCAGACATTAAATATCCCTCAGTAAGGAGTGTAACAGAATGTATGACCATTTATTCTTCAAGTCTCAAGCATAAGTTCAACCACATTAGAGACCCTAAGGTCAATTTAGCTTTTGGGAGACATGTTCAGGACTTTCAATTCATGGGTAAGCATGTACAACCAGTTTACTTAGCTTCTCTTAGTTTAACTGAAGTCAAGGTTACAGCAGCAGCAGCAACAACAACAACAACAACCCAGTGGGATAAGTCAAGGTTACAGCAATCCTTGCAAATAAACTGCATAGCATGAATATGTCTACATTATATTCAAGTTCAAGAAAAATCCCAACTGTGCATAACCATGCAGTATTATATGCAAAAGAAAGAGAGAAAAAACCTAAGCAACTAATAAAAGAAGAGGACGGCAAGCGCAAGTATACCGCATCAGACATATCGCAATGCAGCTTAGTCACAGAGTCTCCGCGCCCCAGCTCCTGAGGAACTCCATAAGCAATATATGTCTTTGGTCCCATGTCAGGCTTCAACGACCCTTCTGGCAGTTTGACAGCAAGATTTAGATAGCCACTTTGTGGATGTGTGTACTCCTTAAAAGGCAAACTGCTAACAAATTCCGCACCATGACGAGGTAATCGTTCATCAAATAGATCAGATGGAGGCCAATCTTTCAACTTCAGAATCTGGGGCCAGCCAGCATCATCAGATCGACCTTCCATATACCCCTTAAAGAACTGGTGGATGTTAACTTCTACCTGCAGTTCCAATAAATAACAAAATCATCAACTTTCATGCAGAGAGTATACAGCAAATAACTAACTTCAGAAACTAAAATGGAGAAGAAAATGTTGTAAAACATTGAACAGCACAGGCTCCACTACACGTGAGGTTCTACAAAGTCTTTCGGGAATCACATATAGCTATTATTTCAAGAAAAAAGAGGCATGAAGATTTTCGATTGCTTTCAAAGTAAAAGAAAAGATGTATTAACGTGGCACATTCAGGGGGAGGTGCCTTAGTGCATGTTATTTGCAGATGACATAGTGCTGATTGACGAGACGCGAGATGGAGTTAACACCGGGCTGGAGGTATGGAGACAGACCCTAGAATCTAAAGGGTTCAAGTTGAGCAAGACTAAAACGGAGTACATTAAGTGTAAGTTCAGTGGAGTAACTCATGAGGATGAAATGGAGGTGAGGCTTGATACTTAGGTCATCCCCAAGCAGGATAGATTCAAGTATCTTGGATTAGTAATCCAAGTTGACGAGGAGATTGATGAGGATATCGTATTGGAGCAGGATGAATGAAATGAAGGCTTGCTTCTAGTTTCTTGTGTGATAAGAATGTGCCACCAAGACATAAAAGATAAATTTTACAGAGTGGTGGTTAGATCGACTATGCTGTATGAAGCGAAGTGTTGGCCAGTTAAGAACTCTCATGTCCAGAAGTTGAAAGTAGCGAAATGAGGATGTTGAGGTGGATGTGTGCGCATACTAGGAGAGACAAGATCAATAATGAAGATATTCGGGACAAGGTAGGGGAAGTCCCGTAGAGGATAAACTGCGAGAAGTGAGGCTGAGATGGTACAGGCATGTGGGAAGGAGATGTCTGAATGTCCTAGTAAGGAGGTGTGAGAGGTTGCATATAGTAGGTCTAAGGAAGGGTAGGGATAGACCTAAGAAGTATTGGAAAGAGGTGATTAGGCATGATATAGCGCTTCTTCAGCTTACTGAGAAATGATGCAAGATCAAGAAGGCCAAGAATTCAAGAAATTCAAGTAGTCCAAGAATCCATTCAAGATTAGGATTTCTTTTCCATAAAGATCAAGATTCTTATTTCTTGTTTCCTAGTAATTTGATTCTTGTTTTAGTAGGATTATATTTGTAGTTCTAGTCAAACTAGGATTGTTAGTTGGTATCATATTCCTACCGGAATTCCTTTTTCCCTATTTTAGTTAGGATAGATTTTTATTAACCTTATTCATATTCTAATTTAATTAGGATTAGTTTTCCTTAACCTCATAAATTTTATGTAAGGCCTATTTAAAAGGCTCAATATGCTGAAAATAAAAATTGGTAATTAGTCTTTCTAAGTTTTTGCTACACAAACGTGATTTATCTTTTATTTCATTCTTCATCCTTTATTCAACACTTCTTGCAAAATACCTTCCACATACCCCACTTGTAGGAATATACTTGGTATATTGTTGTCGTTTCAAAGTAAAAGAATCAAAAAGATAAAAACACATATAAAATAGACACAAAAAGCACATGCCGCCAAAAGAAAAGAAGGACCAAAAGAGAGCATGTTCCAACACAGTTTTAATTTCTTTATAAGAAATGGTAAAAGATTGAACATTGGGTCTAACATTTGTATGCACTGCTTGGTCTGAAATTTCTGAGGTTGCTACTAAGTTTGTACTACATAGCAAAATATATTACTCCCTTTGTCCCATTTTATGAGACACACTTCCCTTATTAGTTTGTCTTAGAAAGAATGGCACATTTCCATATTAGATACAAGTTAACTTTAAATTTTTCATTTTACGCTTAATGAGATAATTTATACACAAATATTTATGACTTATCTTAGACCACAAATTCAAAAGTCTTTCTAAAGTCCATGTCTAGCCAAACAGTCCCACATAAAATGTGACAAAGGGAGTAAATGGAAAAAAAACAATGCTCCCCTCCATACTCCTTCAGTCTCATATATATTGACTTTGCTTTTATTCAAAGTCATGAACTTTATCCTCTGACCACAAGCAGTATAAAATATTTTTATACTTCCCTCTGTTACAATTTAAATGATACAATTTCGTTATTAGTCTGTTCCAAAAAGAATGACACATTTCTATATTTGAAAATAATTTAACTTTAAACTTTTCATTTTACCCACTTGCCTCTTAATGAGAAGCCTGTATAGCCACAAAAATGTCACAAAGCTTTTATCCTTTAAGCCTTTAGAACCACATGTTTCAAAAGTTTTTTTTTTCCTTAAACTTTATGCTAAATCAAACTACATCATCTAAATTGAAACGAAGGGAGTATTACAGTTAGGTCAAAAAATAAGTGGCTAGTGGTATTTTTCATGAAGTTTCGAAATGAAAAATATCAACTTCTAAAATTAGAACAAACGTTAATCAAGTTATTCTTCTAAATTGTACTACGTCAGACAAAATTAGAGCCAAGCAGCCTATAGATTTCGAGCACTCAAAAGAACAAATATTTGATAAATTAAAAAGAAAGGAACATTATGCACAATTAATAGAATAACCTACTCAATTAAAGAGTTAGGTAGCTCAGAAGTTGAGCCCTAAACAAACCATATGGCATTTTAACTAGTTCCAGAAAAAGTCATCACTAGTAAAGGTAGGTACCAAGCAAAGAACAAACATAATCCAATAGGAAAACATTCAAAGAGATACTTGGAACCCACTCACTCAACAGTCACAACCATTAAGTTGCTTTAACCTACACATACTAACAAGTTTAAAATCATACAAAAACACTTTGTATTAAAAATCAAGTGCTTAGATTTTGATATAAATTGTATATTGATCGGTAGTTCTATTTGTAATATAATTAAGTCCTAAGCAAGAGACAAAAAGCTGATACACTGCACTGATGGACAGATTATTTGATATAATTCTGAAAGTAATTTTGTTAAACTTAACTACAATATTTAAATGTCTACCAAAACTAAGAACTAAAAAGCCGTAATTGATTAACAAGACAAACAGAATTACTTAAAAAAGGAGAGAATTTTGATGAATGTGAGACTCGCAAGTATTAAACTGACCTCACACCAATCTAAGCAATTGATAGCAATAACATCCAAAAGAAGAGGATGGTTTAAGTTCTTTATCTGGCGGCATGCTCGCCACATAACCATGGGCTCCCAACTTAACCCTGACGCAGTCTCAAGCACATTGCGGACAATCACAGGTTCACCTTTCAGCCAATGACATTGGAAATGCTTCAGATCCTCCTGCTGAAGATCTTTAGCTGCTGGACAGTACAAATAATTGTCATCAAAATTGTCACGAGATGCAGCTTTACACATTTTACTTTTCTGCATATCATTTTCATCCACTGACTTTCTACATAAGCATGGCCCCTGAGGGATTTCAGGCATGTGTTTCAATTCAAATCTTTTGGCAATATCTTCAGCTTTTGCCAACAACTCAGTGACCTGACATTTTGGCTTTGTCAGCAGGCACTTCAGCTCTAAATTTCCCTTACCACAACCACCAAAATTCTCTGGTGGACAAGGGATGCTACCATCTTCATTCGATTTCCACTCACTAGCAGGACCACCAAAATTTTCTGGCAGAAGCCCTCCGTTATCCTTAGATTCCATTTCACATGCAAGCTTGGCATCTTCCACTGAATCATTTTCAACCATCTCCTTCTTGGAAGATCTAGTCCTCCTTAAGTTTCTAGGTTTGTCTCCGGGTATATCATCACCATGCAAATAACCAAGCCCTTTGTCAGTGAATTCCAAGATGACTTCTTCTTCACCTCCCTTAAGGTGACCATCTCTAAGCTCCCGGCAACAAGTAAGGCAAAGATCATAGTAACAGCTGGAACAATTTCTGTGAAAATCAACAATGGATGTTTTGCAGTTGTTGCTGCACAAAACATTGCTCAACTTAGTGTACTTGAACATAATTCCAAAAGATTGACACGGAAAGAAGAGGTTCTTCATGCTTACCAGTACATTCGCTCATTCTTCTGACACTTTGCTTTGTGCAGCTTTAACTCTGACACTGGTAACCCTGCCCGGATAAAAAAAAAATAGGGGGAGGGGGGTTCTTGTTACGATAGGAAGCAGTGGAAGATGCATTAACACATTAGGTTTTCCTGGAAAGAGTATTCTCTCTACCTACTATGTGATACTATATTTTCTTATCTAGGAAATACTAGCTAGTATGTTAAAGTATTCCTTCTTCATTTTCAAATCCTTTCATACTCAACACTCTGCATATATGTGGAAAAGAAGTGGCTATTTTGTCATCTTTTCTAGCTGTGCTGATATATATCACCTAACAGAAACTAAAATGCATACTAACAGTTGCCCAGATGAAAAGAATATGGCATATCACACGAAAAAGTATATTGAACTTTTATGGCATCCTATCTTAAAGGAGACAATGCAACCTTGAATCCTGGCTTCAATCTCCATCTCCATCACTTGCTCTGCGTCGAATCTTCTCAAGAAAGGCAAAAGTTTTTGCAAGATAAATTTAGAATATAGACTCTTTTCTTCTTTGCTAATCTCAAATTTTAAGTTCTTCAATGTCTGCAAGAAAATTTTGGATAAGAAGAGTGTATTATACACTGTTAACTTGCAAAATAGGACAGTAACTTAATAAAAGTGGAATGGGTGAAGAAACCAGCCCTTATTGGCCCATCCAACCGCAAGCATGATTTGCAATTACAGTTTTGACAACAAACAGGACAAGACTCTGCAAAGGCCTCCTCAGGCATCCCAGGGTACCTATTATTGATCATAAAGGTAAAAGGCTCTGATAAGAAAAACGAAAAGTAAACTACACGGATGAATGAAAATTGGTGTTGTAGTTGACAACATTGAGCAAAATAGACTGGATATAAAGTTTCAAGTTGTCAAAGTGCTCTTCTTGCTTAGCATCTTATCAACTGTGATAATATAACACTCATCAAGAGACAATTGCTCAAGTAAAGCCACAAGGAGCAAAGTATTTTGTCTCTTTGCAAGTCCAACTTACAATTAAAAGTTCAAAACAGTTACTCAGACAAATGAAAACTATATTATAGTTGGTAAAAGTTTTCGGTACCATCTGTTCATGCAAGGAACACAGTATCGCTTTGTTCTACAGCGGGTGCACCGAACAACTCTTCCTTTGTCATTCCTCTGGCACTGATGACACATATTGGATTCAAATTCATTCCCCTGTCCATGTTTTGATTTCAAAACAAAGATAATTAGGGGTTAGTACTCATACTCTAAAGGAATAAACTAAATGAGATTTTCAAATCAAGAATTCATAATAATGTTAACATTTTTACATTCTCATCCTTCCTCTTTCTGTTCCGGGGATTTACTGCATTATCGTGCACATCTTCCCTTTGACGAGTAGAATATCTTCCGGACTCTGATCCTTCCACTTTCTCTTCTCCCTCGGCCTTATGCTTTTTACTCATTTCGCTCTGCTGCTCTCTACTCTCTTCCTCTGCAGAATGTCCACCACTTCCATCACCATTCTCTGCAGCATCTTTCGACCTCTTTCTTCTTCGCTTTTTACTTCCAATTTTCTCACTATCACCATTATCTTCTGTTTTCGTGCCACCCTTCCGACTTTGACCCCTTCTTTTTCTACCTGTATTGCGGTCTTCTTCATCCCATTCAGCCATTTGCTGATTAAATCCCTTTAACTTCTCCATAGCTATTTGACTTGACTTCCTTGTTCTACCAGTCACTTCATCAGAATCAATCTTCTGTTTCTCCTCCTCTTCTTTTCCATTTACATCATTCTTTTTCCTACCCCTTTTCCCACAAGTCACTTCATCAGAATCACACTTCTCTTTCTCTTCCTCTTCTCTCTCACGATCAATTTCCTCTTGTCTTCCATTCACATCATTATTTTTCCTAACAAGATTATTGCTTTTCTTCAAAGGAACCTCTTTCTCTTCAGATTCTTCTTTATCAATATTTTCCTCCATTACAACTGAAAAATTCAATCTTCCCTTTTCACTTTGTACCACCTTCTTTTCCTTATCTTTCTTGGGGGGTCTCCCCCTTTTTCCTTTTGGTTTTCGCTCATTAACCTCCGTCAAAACCTTCCCTTCTTCTTTAGCGTCTAAATTTTCCTCCAAAGAAGCAAACTTTCCCTCAGTATCCCCAATTTCCTTCTCTTCCTCCATAATACTCACACCGCCCTTTCTCTCCTCCGCTGGAAATTCCATTCCCTTTCCTTTATTTTCACTCTTCCCTCCTTCTCCCATTACTATTACTATCCCCCTTTTCAAGAAGCTCTTTTCCTCCCCCCAAAACGCTGTCCTTTTCGCTAACCAAATTAATCTCCTCCTCCCTCGGTAAATAAGTAACCGGATGATCCTTTACTGAACCTTGTCCCTTTTTTACTAGCAGTATTTCCTGACTGTTTGAGGTGGAACGGCGCCGTTTGGAACCGCGGATATTCTTTTACCATCTTGCCCTTGCCTTCTTCCCCTATCCTTCATCGTGTTTGTCATCTTGCGGTTCAAATTCTTTCAGCTATGACCAAAGTAGTATTTATCTATCTACTTATACTTAAAACTTAAATAAAAGAAAGATGAGGTGGAGAAACTATTGGCGGGTTAGGGTTTCGGTAAGAGTTAGAACTTAAAAGGTCGATGGAAAACTGTGGGTGAGAGAAATT